GAGCAGGGAGCCCGATGCGGGGCTCGATCCCAGGACCCCGGGATCATGACCTGAGCCGAAGGCAGACGCTCAACCGACTGAGCCACCCAGGCGCCCCACTTTCCCTGCATTAACCTCTGCAACCATTCAGAGGGGCCAGTTCTGTTTCTGTACAAAACTGTTTAAAATTATTACCAATGCTCTTACTTTTCATGTGGGATAACTTGTTAGTATGTCATACAGAGGCCTTTGTTTCGGTGGCTTCTTCCTCTTCACCGCCCCTACCCCCTATAGTTCATTATCCCCTGAATACTACAGGCCTTTGGAATTGCATATTAATCAGTATGAAGCATATCTACCCTGCAAATGCTAATTCATTCTTCAGGAGCCAACTCAAATATCAGTTTCCCCTGTGTCCCTTAAGAATTAGTTCTTTAAAAAAAAAAAAAAAAATTAGTTCTGCCCTTCTCCTGAGGCCTATAACACTTTATATAAATGTACCTCTACTATAATACTTACATCATTATGAAAAACAAAATATTTTTTATTAAACACTGCAACTGTCATTTTAAGCTTTGAAGCTTTCCAAGTAAAATAGGACCAGTTCCCCTCTGCCCCAAATACTCATTTATTTGAAGTTTATATATTTTTTCAAGATCTCCAAATCTTTAATAAAGGACCTTGGAAATTATTCTTTCTTAGTTTACAGTTCTTAGTTTACTTTTAAATTCTGTTGTAGAATCTTAGAACTGAACTTTGAGCCTGGGATCACTAATATTTACATAACTCATTCAGTATCTGAAGCAGTTCCCCAGAATATGAGGTACCTTTTTTTTTTTTTTTTTAAAGATATTTATTTGAGAGAGAGAGAGCATGAGCAGGATGGAGGGGCAGAGGGAGAAGCAGACTCTCCACTGAGCAGGGAGCCCGATGTGGGACTCGATCCCAGGACCCTGGGATCATGACCTGAGCCGAAGGCAGATGCTTAGCTTAGACTGAGCCACCCAGGTGCCCTGAGGTACATTTCTTTAGTCCTGGAAATACAAGGATTAATAACTATACATAACTAGAATAAAATATAATTAGAAATGCTTTTTGTTAGTTGGATTGAAATAACTTTATTACCAAGGTTGCCATCTTGAATTCTTTATAATGAAAGTGTCAATTTTTATTTTTAATCTTCATCCTTTACCTTTTGCATATGTATAATATTGTTCCTCTGATGATAATGCTGGAATATTTATATTTTCTCTCATTTCAGAAAGTCAGTACAGATACTATTGGAGATGAAGGGTTCTTTGACCTGGTAAGCCGATTTCAGAGCAATCGGATGGATGATCAGAGGTGCTGCTTACAAGAACAGAGCTGTGGGCCAGCTTCAACTGCAGCTTCTTCCACTCCCCCTAGAGTGATGCTAAAAAGTGAGTGATCTGTGCTTCTACCCCCCTTTTAATAGTTCCTTGTGATATTCTTTCTGAGAGTTTAGTTCTCATCAGAGCAAGTACAGTAAATGAGCCTGAACCCAGGTTTATTGGAAATGCTGGTATTTCTTCAGTTCAAAACAAAGTTTTGTTTCAGTTTCCCTAGGTTTATCTGTATTTTAGTCCACTGCACTTTCTACTAACTACAGCATACTGTCTCCCTAGATTCTTTGGGACTGGGAAAAAAATCTAACTTTAAAAGTAAAAATAGTGAAGGGAAAAAATTTAACTTATACATACCTTATAATTCTATGTAAAACACAAATGCTTCCTATTTGGATTTTAAAAAGCCAGTACAGACTGAAGCCGAACCTACGACTAAGGCTGAAGCTAAGGTGTGCTTGAGCCGTAGAAAGGTCTAAAATGGGTTACTTAAAATTTTCTACTTCAGCTACCAAAAGACTTCCTCTGCCATAGACTAGGACTTATCAGCAACACTTAACTCTTAGTTAGCTAAATGGTTCCTATCCAGGGCATAGAATAAAAACACTGTCTCATTCATCCTCACGTGAGAAATTATCTAAGACAATTTATTACCTTCCAAAATCTAGCTCCAGATCTTATAAAGTACAATTTTTTTTTTTAAAGTAGGCTCCACATCCAACATGGAGCCCAACACAGGGCTTGAACTCATGGCTGTGAGATCAAGACCTGAGCCAAGATCAAGAGTCAGACAGTTAACCGACTGAGCCAGCGCCCCTTGTTAAGTTACATTGTGAGTGGGCGTTAGATAAAAGTAAATACAGTCAAATCTGAATAACATCAAACTGGATCATCTGAAGTCCTCTGGGATTCAGTCTTCCCTCCCTGCCCATCTAGTCAGGCCCCAGCCTATCAGTGACTCTGAATGACAGAGATAAAACAGGGGGACAGAGTGGATGCTGGGACTGAACAAGGCAGAAAGGAGTTATATGTGTATTAAAAATATGCCTAAATATTTTTATAATGTTATGGATTTTTTTCCTGTTCATAGCACCATCTGTTTCCATGGTATCCCCCAACACGGATGAGTTTTTAGACCTTCTTGCCAGCTCACAGAGCCGCCGTCTTGATGACCAGAGGGCCAGTTTCAGTAATTTGCCAGGGCTTCGTCTGACACAAAACAACAATAAGTCTGTCCTTGGCCACCTGATGACTAATGACAACAAAGAGCCTGATGAAGACTTCTTTGACATCCTTGTAAAATGTCAAGTATGTATGCATATTTGTGTCAGTCTGTGTATGCCTCAGATGCTGTTGGGAGCTTTGTCAGTATTATAATTCTAATTTGGGAAAGGCTCATTTTGTATCAGGGACACACTTATTATTCAGGGGCCCATCACACACTATATAGATCCCTGTGATGGCTTTTTACTTTATTTTGGGTGGTGAGGCAAGGTGAGATGTTGCTGATGACTCTCTGAGCTGTGGTGGAGAGGAGACTGTGAAGGGTATAAAAGGAGACCTAGAAAAGAGCCCCGCTCAAAAAAAAAAAAAAAGCCCCTCTTTTCTAAATGTTAGGAGAAAGCATTGGGAGCAGCCAGTGATTAATATGGGAAGAGTCTAGCTGGGGCCCTCTTTAGAGAACTTTAGGAGTAATGCACATATTGAGATAGCTTTCATTTTTTAGTTATTTTAATAATTATTTGCCAGAATGGTTAAGGAATATCTCAAATGGCTTGAAGAGGACCACAAGAAAAATAACCGTTATTTTTACTAAAGAGACATTTCCTCTCCCCAACCCTAATTCTGTGTGTTTTCTCATTCTTAAAAAGATGAGGTGATGACACATATACTATCCACCTGTCATTCATTCAACAGAAAATTATTGAGCATCTGTAATGTTCTCTGCACTATTCTAGACATTTGAGACACATACTTGGCTTTTAAAGGATCCTACATTTTAGTGTGAGAGATAGTAAAAAGTCTGTACATGTGTATAGATATTCTAGGTCAGTTACTGATAAGGTGCTATAAAGAAAATTAAAGCAAGGTAAAGGAGTCGGGTATCCAGGGGTGGTGGTGGTTAGGGAAGATGTTTCAGGATTGGCATATGAACAGACATCTGCATGAGGTGAAATAGTCAGCCATGTGAATATTTAGTGAAAGTGTTCCATGCAGAGACAACAAGTCTCTTCTTGGATATACAAGGATAAGATATACAAGGATAAGGGAGAGTGGTAGGAGATAAGGATGGAGAAATAACTAGCCTATATCTTATAGGCCATGATGAGGTCTTGTATTCCAAATGTGATAGGAAGACATTGGACGGTCTGAAAGCATGTGGAGTGGCACAGGGTGTTAGTAGAAAGACCAGCTAGAAAAACCAATATGGGTAATTCAGGCAGAAGATATTGGTGACTTTGACTAGTGTAGTGGTGGCAGTAGTAATGATGATAAGCAGTCAGAAGAGGGGTATATTTCTGAAGTTATGGTTGACTGGAAAGACCTGTTAATAAACTGGATGGAAGGGAGGATATAAGAATCAAGGCGGGCTCCTATCTTTTTGGCTTTGCACTCAGTCAGTGAATGGTACGGTTTACTGAAATGGAGAAGAAAAACAGGTTTGGGAAGAAAAAGCAGTTCTACTTTAGATACATCAATTTGAGTTATGTAAGTAGATACTCAAGTGGCGATGTTGAGTAGGCAATTGGATATAAAAAATCTGGAGTCCCAGAGAGAAAAGATTTTTGGGAGTCATCAGCATATAGCTGGTATTAAAGCCTTGGGAAGATAGTATCTAAAGAATAGATAAATATGAAGACTAAGCCCTGGGAATTCCAAAATCTAACTGAACAGAGAAAGGTAAGCCAGCAAAGCAGCAGTCAGCCCAGAGAGTGATAGAAGCAAACTGAAGAAAGTGTTTTAAGAACACTGCTAAGAAGCCAAGTAAGATTTGGCAACATGGAGATTATTAGTCATTTTGAAAGATACTGTTTTAGTGACATGATGGGGAGAAAGGATTGAGGGGGTTGAGAACATGGAAAGTGTAAAAGGGGAGATAGTGGGTTTTTTTTTTCTTTTGGGAGTTAATACTGCATGAATGCTGACAGAAATGATCAAGTAGAGGGAGGAACAAGTGATGCAGCATAGTATGGGATAGTTGAAGTTTTTGCGCAGGTGAGAAGGAAAGCAGAGTATAGGTCTACAGATGTGGAGGTAGTTGTAGGTAGGAATTCTCTCTGGTGGCTTTTATTTTGTTACAAAGTAAGAAGTAGGGCCATTAGTGGAGATTGTGGAACATGACCAGGGAAAAGTAACAGAATTATTGAGCTACCCTGAGGACTCATTTGAAATAAGTCACTGAAATAAGGTCAGTAGGGTGGTATATTTTCTTTGGGTATAACCAACTGCTTAAGGATACAGAGATTTAATCAAGGTCAGTATTTTGACAGAATAGGATGGAGGGGGAGAGAAGTACATACCAGGGAATTACTTTAATAAGGGACTTTGGAGTCTAGGCTGCATCTAAGAAGGGAAGTAAGGAAATAAAAGGTATGGAAGTGAAAATTAACAGCAATCCCAGTGGCTTTAAGAAATACTGAAGACATGTCCCTAATAACAGACCATCAACATATATGAAGGGAGAAATGAACATTTCTAAAAATAGCTGAAGGTTTCAAACCCCCCCCCCCCCCCACTCAATAACAGGACAACCAGGCAGATGATAAACTTGAACAACACAGTAGGCTAACTACCTCTTACTTTTCAAGTGCACATGGGATATTCTCCAGGAAAGACCATATGTTAGGGCCACAAAGTAAGTCTCAACAATTTTAAAAGACAGATATCATACATAGAAGATACTCTGACCACAAAAGGATGAAGTTAGAAGCAATAACAGAAGGAAAAATGGAGAATTCACAAATTTGTGGAAATTAACCAGTAAGTAAAGAGGAAATCACAAGGGAAATTAGAAAGAAATCACAAGGGAAATTAGAAAGTAACACAATATTCTAAAACTTTGGGATGCAGTGAAGGCAGTATTTAGGAAAATTTTATAGCTGTAAGAAGGAAAATCTCAAATTAACAACCTAACTTCACAGCTTAAGGGGCTAGAAAATGAACTAAAACTAGCAGAAGGAAGGAAATGGAGAACAGAAAAATAGAAAAAAAAAATCAAATCTTAAAGCTGGTTATTTGAAAAGTTTAACAAAACTGGTAAACATTTAACTAGAGGTAAGAAAAAGAGAAGCCTCAAATTACTAAAATTAGAAACAAAGGTGGGGCCATTACTCATATTCCACAGAAATAATAATTTTAGGAGAATACTATGAATGATTATGTTGGATAACCTGTATGAAATGGATAAATAACTAGAAACACAAAATCATCCAACACTGAATCATGAATAGAAAATAGACCCATAATTAATCCATAAGGAGATTATATCAGTAATCAAAAACCTCCTGACAAAGAAAAACCCCAGACCTGATGGCTTCACTGGTGAATTCTACCACACATTTAAAGAAGAACACCAGTCCTCATACTCTTCCAAAAAACTGAAGAGAAGGGAATACTTCCTATTCCTAAGTCATTCTATGAGGCCAATATTGTCCTGATACCAAAGCCAGACAAGACACTACAAGAAAACTTGAGACCAATATCCTTTTTGAATATAGATGCAAAAATCATCAATAAAATACTAGCAAACAGAATCCAGTAAACGGATTATACACCATGCCCAGGAGGGATCTGTTCCTGGAATGCAGGTATGGTTCAACATAGGGGAATCAACCAATGCAACACATACACATTAATAGAATGAAAGCGGAAGAAACCACTTGATCATCTAAATGAAGAAAAAGCATCTGACAAAATTCAACACATTTTCATGTTAAAAACACTCAACAAACTAGGAATAGTAAGAAACTACCACAACATAATAAAAGTCATTTATGAGGGGTGCCTAGGTGACTGAGTCAGTTGCAGTGTCTAACTTGATTTCAGATCAGGTCTCAGTATTGTGGGATCGAGCCCCATGTGGGGCTCTGCACTCAGCATGGAGTCTCCTTGTCCCCCTCCCTGTGCCCTTCACCCTGTGCACATGTGCACACGAATAGATTAAAAAAAATCATTTATGAAATATCCACAGCTACCATCATACTCAGTGGTAAAAGAAAAAAACTTCTCTAAGATTAAGACAAGGAGTCCACTTTCACCACCTCTATTCAACATAATATTGGAACTTCTAGTAGAGCAATTAGGCAAGAAAAAAAATCCAGATTGGAAAGGAAAAAAATTATCTCTGTCAGAAATGACAGTCTTAGATATAGAAAACCCTAAAGATTTCACCAAAGCCCACAAAAAACCCTGTCAGACTAAGAAACAAATTCAGCAAAATAACAGGATACAAAATTAATATCCAAATATCAGTTGTGTTTCCATACACTAACAATGATGAACAAGTTATTACAAGTTATTGGGAGGGGGGAAATTAACAATTTTTGTAATAGCATCAAAAAGAATAAGCTACCCAAGAATGAACTTAACCAGGGAGGTTAAAGACTTGAACAATGAAAACTATAAAATGTTTCTGAAAGACATGAAGACCTCATAAATAATATGGAAAAAAACTCACGTTCGTGGATTATAAGACTTAATATTGTTAAAATGCCAATACCACCCAGAGTGTAATCTACAGATTCAATGCATTCCTTATCAGAATGTAAATAAGGTTTTTTACAGAAACAGAAAATTCCACCCTGAGATTCCACAGGAACCCAAATAACTGAAACAATCTTGCGCAAGCAGAACAAAGTTGGAGGCCTCACATATCCTGATTTCAAATTTTACTACGAAGCTACAGTAGTCAGTTATGGTACTGGCATGACAGACATATACACCAATAGGAAAGAGAGCCCAGAAATAAATCCTTGAATATGTGGTCGAATGATTTTCAGCAAGAATGCTACGACTATTAAATGGGGAAAGGATTCTCATCAACAAATGATTCTGGGAAAACTATCCACATGCAAAAGAATGAAGCTGGACCCTTACCTAATACCATATATAAAAACTGATTCAGAATGGATCAAAGACCTAAATGTAAGAGCTAAGATTATAAAATCTGTAGAAAACATAAGGGGAAAGCTTCAAGATTTTGGATTTAGCAGTGATTTCTTAGTTATGACACCAAAGGCACAGGCAACAAAAGAAGAAACAAACTGGACATCATGAAAATTTAAAACTTTTGTACATCAAACAATTTT